TTAGAGAAGTAATATTATATATACATATAGAATTAAGCTAAAATTGGTTTCATAAATGTAGAATTAATGCTACAAACTAAATGGATAAATCTTGCGTCGATCGACACAGAAGCAGCATGGTCAAATATAAAACGAGAACACGAATCATTAGGTTTAGTGGCATTCCCAAAATGGGTTCAAAATATTTGATTTGGTAGTGAGGGGGCAACGATCTTAGAGGATCCCACACTTCTTTAAGATATTGATTAAAGCATGAAGTTATGATTTAAACGAGGATATATAGTCTCTTGTATGATTCGGCTGTTCAGCTGATAATATTAATTATATTTAGATACTATTAGTTTATATGAGTTTAAATACAAAAAGTTAAATTTGAAAAGAAAATAATGTTACTTAGAAAAAGAGCGCATGGATTAAAAATGTGGAAGGTGGTCAAAAAAAGAAGCGCAGACCGCTTTAAAGGAAGGAGAGTGTGAATTTTATAGTATTTTACCTTAGTCCGAATAATCTTACTTGGAATAATTTGTCTTCAAACTTTATATTTCTGACATCCATTTTTGTGTCTATGGTCAATTGGTCTTGTCTTGCTAGCTACATATAAAGTCGTAGTATGATGTTTTATCTTATCCTTTCTCTCTTTTCTTAAACTGCGAAAAATATTTCTGACATTTATACAAATTTTAAGCTACTTCAAAATATATTTTTATGCTACCAAATTGATCATTGCGAACTTCAATGCCCGCGATCCAACTGTTCATATTCTCATGCATGATGCATGCTTTTAACTGGATCTCCCTACGCAATAATAGGCATGTTATTCTTTATTTGAATTTAAAAAATTAAAAAATTATTCGTGAGTTTTTTTTTTTTTTTTGGAGTTAACCCATCTTAATTATCTTCTTGGGGCGAATCCACTATTAGTAAAAAAAAAACTCTTGTAATTATTTTTGGTAAATAACCATAAAAAGATTTAATTTATTCAAAAGTGATTGCAAGAAATCGTATTTCATTCATCTCCCTTCAGTTTTGTGCGTCTTTTACGTGACTATTTCCCCCCCTTAAAATTTGTTATTATAACAAAGACTATCAGATAAAGTATGCAAATTTAATAATAAAAATAATATTTTTATGCATTGAACTATTTTTTTACACCACTAACGCATAAATAATATTCAAATTAAAAAAATTAATTAATTACTTTGTTTTTCCTTTTTATATCACAAATTATTATCATACTCAACATTGATTATGATTAAGCTGGATTCGCTATAAATTTGAATGTTACTAACGATTATGATTAATTAAGCTGGATTCGATTTAAATTTGAAAATACGTTATTAACACTTTTTATTTTTCATTAATTATCAACTAGTTAGATTTAATTCAAATCTTGAAATTATACTCATTGTTAATATTTTTCCCTTAAATATTAATGTACTATTTTATCATTTGTCCATTTATAATAATAATTAATTAATGATTTATAAATTACAATTAAAACTAAAAAAATATATACGTATAACGTATACATTTTTCGAATGCTTAGAGAAAAAGATATAAATCAATTAACTGCGCCTTCAACGTAATTATGTTTTCGCTAAGATAAATAATAACAATAACATATTTAAAGTGAATTAAAATTATATGATAAAAAATTAAAATTACATTAAGAAGTTCATGAATGTTTATAAAATGTTGTAAATGAAAAATAAAAATTTTATGAGTTTGATTTTTTGTATTATCATTAAATTTATAAATGAATAACTAATAATGATGATAGTTTTAAAATTAAGATTTGAATAATTTGCTTGCATCAGATCTAGGGCAAAACCTATAACACTGTCACATAAAGATTCCGAACCATTAAAAAAAGTCAACCTTCTATTGGAAACATCTCAAGACCTAAAAAATTAACAAATAAATCTCAAATATAAATTTTAAACATTGTAAATTACTGACAATATATATGTCATTACACTAACGTCAACGTTGTTTTCCACAAATACAATTTTAAAAAATATTTACCAAAATAATTAACTATTCAAATATATAATCATTCCCGTTAATTAGACAAGACTAATCCCGCACCTCAATTACACATTAGCAAGCCCCGCTGACGCGGATTAATCTACATGTTTATAATGCACAACCGATTACCGACATAACAACTCTAAACCCTAAACCTGGATAAGGATCCTTTAGGGGGTGTTTGTTTCAAGTTTTTGGAAAGGATTACCAGTAATCCTTTTTTGGTAAATGTAATTACCACGTTTGGTAGAAGGAATAAATTACGATTTCTGGATATCCAAGGATTACCGGTAATTTGATTTATAAAGAAAAGTCACTATTCAGATTATCAAAAATAACATGGTAATTCGGAATAACAATCAGAATATCAAGTAAAGGGAAAGCACAACAATAAATTTTGAAACAAAAATACCCCAATACACATAAAAATCTAGACCCAATCTATCAATTACAAAAGTAAAAATAGTTTGGGGTTATTTTTGTAAAATAACCCCATATTCCAAGTCATATTTCGTTCTAAACCAAATATGGAATCAGTAATTTTTATCCAATATTCCCGGTAATATTTTGGCGAACCAAACACCTCTTTCGTAAGATTCCAAGTAAACTCAATTTCTACTGTATTCCTATTAATCATGATTCCCGGTCACCAAAAAATTTCTCTTGTACCAAACACACCCTTAATGTGAAAAATCACATGACCATGTGATGTGAGAAATCATAACCATACAAAGGTAGATCAATAGTAATAAGGGAGGAGAGAAAAAATATATTAAAATAGGTAGTTACAAAATCATAACCGTTGATTTACCTTTGTATGATTGTGATCTTCTCACATGACCATGTCATGTTTTTTTTCCACATTAGAGGATCCATTTCTCCTAAACCTTGGAAATTTCTTCTTAATATCAGATGTCCGTAAATGGGTATATATTTTTGTCAAAAGAGAAAATTTTCTTTTCAATTAATCCATAATTTTTTTAAGTATTTCCCATTAAATTTCAAATTCTTACCTTTTTTTGGACAAATGTATGATACATTTGATGCACCAAAAAAATATTTCTAAACCTCAAACATAAAGGGACTAATCTCGAATGCATATCATGCCTAAATAACTATCAATTTAAGGGTTCGTCGGATGTTTCGTTGCAAAATATTCTGCAACTATTTTTAATTATGTATTAAAAATAATATATAATTATAATATTAAAACTATTTTTTCTCTCTCCTTCACATACCGACTTTAATATTTTAATGATATACTACCTTTAATACATAATTAATAACCAATTGCAGGACAAAAATTTCCATTCCTACACTATAATACTTATATTTTTCTTAATTTAATCATATTCATCAAAAATGCATTATTTAAAAAATTGTTTACATTACAGCGAAAAACTGATTTTTAAGAAGAGAATAATATTTTCCAAAAAATATTACTCTCATTTTATACGAGAATAATTCTCTCATGTCATAAATTGAAACCAAGTGAAGCTCACCATTAAAGCAAAAAAGCAAAAAAAAGAAGGTTGGAATTTTCTAGAAGAAAAAATGAAATAACTACTTGTACAAGATGGAAGTAATATTTTCACTATTATATATATATAAAATAATTTTTATTTTTTATAACATAAAAAAAATCAAAACCTAATATAAAATAGAAATATATATATATATATATATATCTTTTTAAAGAACAAAAACTTCAATACTTTTAGAAAAGAAATATAAATCCCATTAAAAAAATAAAGACAAAAAAACAAATGTATAAATCTCATCTGTGTGTCTATCTCTCTTTTAAAAAATAAAATAAAATAAATTTGTGACACCATTTCCCCCATAAAATATCATATTTATAGTGCTTTTAGTGCCATTGCCCACCGTTAGTAAATAAGATCCCACGATGATGCAATAAAGTTGAAGCACAGTGCACTGAGCAGCAAGTGTTCAAGAATTTCTCTCTCTCTTTAATTACAAATCAGAGGGGCCTATCTATAACAAGTAGACAAAACAAAGTACAAACAGATCAGAGATATAAAGTGAAAATGGAGAAATAAAGTCGGGGAAAGATGTTGTATTCTCAAGAGCTATCAACAACTTATTCGATAAAGCAAAGCAAAATCAGCGGCAAGAGGTGACCGACCGCTGTTGCTGAAAAGAAACTGTCAGCAGGCACAACCCTAGCCACGTTCTCACTGCCATTCACCTTTTTTATCCAAATCAAAGAATGCTAAGGACTAACTCCATTTCCCATCCCATCCCATCATCATTCATATTTGCAGCAGCGTAGCAGAGTTATCAGCTGCTGCTGCTGCTACCTCAGCGTACGTTATCATCATCCACCAACAGCACGTCTCTTCACACTACTGCTGACCATCACAGTCTACAGAGATATTCTCAGGCTCTCAAACTTCAAATCAATACTTGGATTCTCACGCCACCTTCCCGGTCCAACCAAAACCCACGTTGGAAAATCTATTCTAACCAAAACAACCAACCTAGCCACCCAAATATTACCACATTCACATGTTGAACTTTATAAAAATATAAAGGAGAAAGGTCAATTCTCTACCTTGATATAGAAAGGGTAACCACAACACAACGCATTTCGAGTTTCCTTTCCTCACAAGCATTAACCAAAACTAGTTGCAACTTTAGTTCCCAAAAATTCCATTAAGAGAAAAAAAAAAAGATAACCCAACAAACTAAACAGTAATCAATAAAGAACAACGGCTGACAAAGAACTTGAATATGCATCATGCCTAGTTATATTATATAACTACATCACTAAACACTACTCTAAACTAGTGTTTCTGTTTATAACCTGAAGCTAATTAAACTAATACCAAGATTTCAACTAAAATTAATTAAACAGCAGGAAACAAAACAAGAAAAAGAACAACAAAGCATCTAGAAACGATTCACAATAGACACGAAGTTAAGGAAACACAAAACAACAATGTGATTGATCAGTACGGTGGTGGTGGTGGTGGTCTTGCTGTTGGAGCCCAAATCACATCCAATGGCAAGTGACAGCTGTACATGGACATTCCACACGACTCCGCCGGGCCATGCCCACTTTCGCCGCCGCCGCCACCGGAGACAGGCGGTGAATGTCCATCGCCGCCGGAGACGGAGTTTCGAGCCTCTTCTTCCGGCGGCAGCCTGTGATACGATGGGTCGTTGAACGAAGCGGCTATCACGAACACCGTCCCCGCAGCCATCAATTCGCCGGCGACAATCCCTCCAATGATCTGGCCCTGCGGTCCGGCGAGAGAGATTGAAAATCCGTTAGGACCCATCGGCGAAGCACCCGATTGTTGGGGAAGGAAGGTTGCGGATACGGAGAGGATATCGAAACGGCCGTGAAAAGTAACGGTGGCTCCAGGCGTTGTGGAGGGTTGACGGAGAGTGACGTTAACGACTGTTCCAGAACCCGTTAGTATGCAGAGGCCCATGTTCTTGCGTCGACTGAACCGTGCGATGGCTTCGACGACGTCGTTCCCGCCAGAAACTTCGAGAATGTAAGGGCTCATGGTAGGTTCGGGGTCGCGGGTTATGATAACTGGTGGCTTAGGTTTGTTTTTCGATCCGGGTGGACGACCCCTAGGGCGCCTCACGACCTCAATGGTGGCTCCGTCGCCGGAGGAGTTAGGCTTCTGCACGGTGATGGGGGTGGCGCCGCCGCTATTGCGGTTATCGTCCTCCCCGGAGAGTTGGAAAGGGTTGTGAGAAAATGAATGGTGCTGAGGTTGTTGAGATTGTTGTTGTTGTTGTTGTTGGGGAAGCTTTGAGAACATAGTTGGCGTTTCATTGTTAGGAACATGTTGCTCTACATATTCTCCTTTCATCGCTTTCTTCTTCTTCTTCTTCTTCTTCTTTTTGATTTATCTCTCAATTTTCTATGCTTACCAATCCCGAGTCTCTATGATTGGGTCAGGGTTTAGATTTTGGATGGTTATTGTAATAAAAGAGTGTGTTGAGACCAAAGACAGAGAGAGAGTAGGAAGATTCGATGAGAGGAAAGGAAAGAGCACAGACGAGGCAAATAGAGAGAATAGGGAGGTTTTTGGTGTTTGGATTTGTTTATTATTATATATATTGGGTATACTTGAGAAAGGAGATGTGGGATTTTATTACGGAGTGGTGAGAGATTGAAAAGGGTATATAGAGAGAGAGAGAGAGAAGGTTGGTGAGCTTGGAAACTAAGTAAAGACTAATGGCGCCGATGGTTGGGTTGGAGCAAAGTGGGTCCACAATCACACATGAGACAGATAGAGATGGATATATGTCGAATGCAAATTGGGCATTATTGGTTGGCTCAATCTTGCACCGCCTTTCCTTTTTTCTTTTTTCTTCAAAGCTTTCGAGAGGTACTTCCTCTTGTCTTAGGCATGACCTGACCCCGAGTTGATTATTGATAAGGATCCTTTGATGGGTCTCGTTTTGGGTTATGGGGGGATGACCTTTTCCTACTCTCTTTTTCTCTATCTATTCCATACTTTCACTTAAATTCTAATATTATTTCAGCTCATTTGTTTTGACATGACGATCTCCTCCTCGTTGCTTCCTAACGATGACATTCCATTATTTTTATCTTTTCATTTAGGTCAAATTGTCCTGAGTTTTATGATTTTGTTAAGGGATATGCTTGTCAGATTTATTTGTAAACGTTATCAATTCGACCACACTGGGAGCATGAATAACTGATTATGGTAGTTAATTATTAATTTTAGCTTGTTTCAAGAGCTTTGCTATTCTCATGTCACGTGAATTAATATTTTTCATACCATCTACACATTAAGTGATGGATCCACTACTTATTAAAAAAATATATATATTTTTGGATTTTTAATAAAAATTACAAGACCTATTTTAATTCTTTAGAAAAAAAAAAGTTAACTTATATATCTCTAAACTTTAAAATAGATTTAGTTAGTGGAAATCATGGTCTATCTGAAATTCAAAGAAGATACACATTAGTCTTTGTCCCTCAAAATAATTGATATGGATTTATTTTGAATTGTAAAGAAATCATAAGTCAATTTTTTCTAATAAAATAAATTGGTCCTAGTAATATTTGTTAAGGATTCAAAATATATTTTACTCTTAAAAAAAATAACACAAAATTTAATCACTCACAAGGGAAAACAATCTCCTATTACAAAATAAAACAATCTCCCTTGTTTTAATCTAATAAGTCCTTCCCTAGTTCTCCTCATCCGTGCCACTTTTACGCTAATCACCGCTTAATGGGTAATTCTGTTGTTCACTTTTATGCTCTGCCTCTTCATCTCATTTATCTATTGGTGTCATTTCAGTATTATTTGGAACAGTGATCATTGTGCCACTGTTCCCACACAAATTTACCTAAATGTCACGCTCCTGAACTAATTTTTCAAACTGCCACACAGGCAAGGTCACTTGCAGCAGTAGCGAACTATGCATGATGATATATCAGGAAGCTGGTGGTGTCAGAGTTCGCTTCTGACACAGGCGACCTCTGTTTTTAACTAAGTTCGCCTACCATGTAGGCGACCTTTATTTTTTTTTTAAATTTGATACTTGTTATCCACTATAAATGTGACACGTTAGCAAATCGAGTTCGCCTGTGTCAGAAGCGAACTTGCCCCCGTGGCAGATTGGGAAATAACACTGTTCGCGTGGCATTTAGGTAAAAAAATTGGTGAACAGTGGCATTTTGGTTAGTTATCCGTATTATTTGGTCTGCAATGTGAGTTAGGATAACTGACCAAAATGCCACTGTTCACCAACTTTTTTACCTAAATGCCACGCGAACAGTGTTAGTTCTCAATCTGCCACGGGGCAAGTTCGCTTCTGACACAGGCGAACTCGGTTTGCTGACGTGTCACATTTTCAGTGGATAACAAGTATCAAATTTAAAAAAAAAAAAATGAAGGTCGCCTACATGGTAGGCGAACTTAGTTAAAAACAGAGGTCGCCTGTGTCAGAAGCGAACTCTGACACCACCAGCTTCCTGACATATCATCATGCATAGTTCGCTACTGCTGCAAGCGACCTTGCCTGCGTGGCAGTTTGGAAAATTAGTTCAGGAGCGTAGCATTTAGGTAAATTTGTGTGAGAACAGTGACACAATGATCACTGTTCCATGTGAGTTACTGAATTTATCTTATTTGTTATTTTGAACTTTTGTGGTCTCCCTTCACATGGAATAAATATTTAGTGCAATTAATGCACTCAGGATTTAGTGAAATTGTCATTTATTTTGTGACACAATGGACAAAATATATTATCTCTGCTGTCATTTAAATTTTCTTTTTTTCGGTTGATGTGATTTTTTTGGTCTCTTTGTAACAAAATAAATAGCAGTTGCACTGAATCTTTAGTGTACGGATTGCATTATAAATTTATTCTTTCTCACGGTTGTGGTGCATGCACTCAACTTTATATGGTTTATAATCATTTTCTTTAATTACCAGTCTGATCATAATATGAATGTTTTCGGTTCTAATAGAATTGTATCTTATGAAAGATATATCTATTTTATCAAAAAAAAAAGCTCAAATTCATTTATGTAAAGAATCAAATAATTAAGAAGTTTAAGTTAATAAATCATCAATTTTTGCTTTGCAACTGGAGTCTCTGAACAAGAACCTACGAAAAAGAGATTCATGCAAAATTTTAAGCTGCTTTTGACATGTTCAAAACGAAAATGCAAAGGTTAAGAGTGTCACATGTAACCTAAAATTTCTAGTCAATTTAAAACTCTCACTCATCTTTTCTCTTCCTAGCCACACATAGCAAATTGTAGGTGTATTTTGACGGTAAAAGCCTTTCTTGAATAGCATTACCTCCGAGGATAGATTTGTCTCTCAGAAGTAAGTCAAAGGAAGCTTCCTTTGCTTCCTCAATTTTGTGCTAATTTCAAACCAATTGCAGTGGGCTTGGCAGGTACCATTAGATGCATGCATTCAATAGCTGACTCCCAAACTTAGCTCAAATTGTTTATACGCGTAGGGCCATTTGTGTTGTAAATATTAATTATTGGTTATATACAAGTTGAGTGAGAATTATATAAGTGCTGTTTCCAAAAAAAAAAAAAAAAAAAAATTTATATAAGTGCGAAAGACTTATAAATTTCTAATTTTAAGGTTTTCGATTGAAATATAATATCAATCTATTAATTGTTATTTGTTATTTGACACCATTAATGGAGGTATTTAGAAGAGAGAGAGAAAAAAAAACATTTACGAAATTTTATTACATTTTTTATAAGTTAAAGTTCAATGAAAAATAAAACTTTCGTATTCAAATGTCAAGACATTGTCACAACTCACAAGTCTTGGAAAAAATTATACTGATAAATTAATAGAAATTCCATAACTTTTTTATTTATATGGAAATATTTTTTGTAAAAAAAGAGATAAGATAAATTTAAATTTAGTTTCTTATCGATGCATGAACGCAATTTACTTGTAATAATATGCTAACTATTCCAAAGCTCACTAGCACAACAACAGGAACATATTTTTAAAATATTATATTTGATGGTCTAATTTTTTTTTAAATAATAATGACACTGAACTTTAAATTTATGACTTTATTCAAATTATTCAACTCTTTCATACTAAATCTTAGTATCTTGGTTCAAATTTATTTAAAAATAATCTAATATCACTAATTTAGTTTTTTTTGCCACATGTCATGAGATTAATATATTTCATATTATAAGAGATAATTTTATTTTCAATACACACACAAACACTTTTCCTATATATATATATATATATATATATATATATATATATATATATATATATATCAAAAAATATGTGTATTTTTAAAGGACACAAACTTAGATTCTTTTAAGAAAGAAATAGACAAAAAAAAAGTGGAACCCACATCTTTATTTTTTTAGTGGGACACATGCCTCTTTGTATCTATCTCTCTCTTAAAAGGATATAAATTTGTGTTCTTCAAAAGAATACACACTTTTCACACACATATATATATAAAAGTGTGTAGGACTTAAGTAAGGGAAAAAAAAAATTACAGACAAAAAATGTGTGTAAGTGATAAATCTCTTAGAATATAACTTACCATATTTTTGATTACCGAGCATTTTTCATTCCACAAATAGGAAGTAACGAAAGACCAGACAGTACTAGTCCCACGAAACATTATCCTTTTTCCAAAACCAAAATGCGAAACCTTGAGGACAGTATAATGCAATCTATGGCTTAGTGTTTGCCCGATTTGGCCGCTAAAAATGGAATATGTTCTTGCAACATACCTAAGTTGAAATGCGGTTTGAATATAAAAATGGAAACCTGAAATTATATTCAGTTTTAATGGCGGTGTTGGATTAAACTTTGACAGAGTATAGATTCTATTATATAAAATACCGAAATAGTGTTCATATTACATATCCTGCGACCATGTCTCTCTTTCTATTCCCCCTAATCTTTGGCCTCTCTCCCCTCCCAATTTGAACATATGTGGCTTTATAAACGATGTCACCATAAATAGCATATGTTTGTCGTGGACCACAAACTAACGAAGTTATAATTGGTATTTACAACACAGATTATTTTACAAAAAATTATAATTACAATATTTGATTTGTAAAAAAATAGATAGACAAAATATAAAAAAAGAGATATAAACTGTAGAGACTATCCAAATATATAATTTAATCATTTTTAATTTTTCTTTATTGTTAGATGAATGAGTAATTAAAGTAAGGTTTTTAACAAAATGAGGCTTCCATTCCATGCTGATCAACGTAGAGTTCTTAAAGAATACTATTTTGAAGAGCTTTCTCTGGCTCAAATCTCAACGTTTTATTATTTAATAAAAATAGATTAATCTCACTTTTTTTAATCAACGCATGTCCTTACAGGCTCACGTCAAACGGAACTTCTTCTTGTTGCCGTAATGATTGTCGACTTCAATTTGAAAATAGTTAAGAACAATTTACTAAAAAAAGTAAAAGAAAAAATTAAAACATTTTAAATATTTAAGTATAGTGTAAATATTTTTTGGGTTTATAATTCTCATTTAACATGAGAATTACAATTTTCCTACACACCCTTCGATTTCTGTGCTGACATGGGTCCTACATATAATTTTTTTTAACACATGGGTCCCACATACTTTTTATCTCTACAATATGAGATTTCAATTCTCCTTCAACATGAGAATTATAAAACCCATATTTTTTACATACAAAACATTTAGGAGGCGTTTGATTGAGAAGAAATTTTTTGAATACTAGGGAAATTGTTGGAAAGTGAGTTTGGTAGGAAAATGTAAAAAAAGTTGTTTGGTTGACCGAAATATTACCAGAGAAATTTATTTAAATTTGCAAAATCTATGTTCGGGAGAAACTTCGCACCTGTTTTTTCACTTCCCCGGTTATTTCAAAATACCACATCTCAAGTGGTATTCTGTAACAGTGAATTTCATCCAAAAATCAACACAAAAGTCATTTTCTCATCTATCCTATTTGCCTAGTATTTTTTAAAAAAACCTGAACCAAACGTGGTATTTTCCAATATCTACTTACGCTTTCCCATCAATCCCAAAATAAATCTTCTACCAAACACTACCTTAATGACTACCAAATTTTTTAAAAATTTAATTCTTTAAAGAATTATATCAAAGATTTTTTTCCCCTAAAAATCCTTTTTCCAAGACTTTTTTGAGCTTCTTTTCATTCAAAGACTTTTTTTTATATATATAAAACTGGGGAAGGATATTGTGACAACCAAGTTGTGTTACTACTAAGTGACTACCAATCAATCTTACCGTTAGATCGATTATATTGATCCAACGGTTATATTTATTTCCATTTTTGTATGGTCATGATTCCCCAAATTTAATACTTTATATTTATTTTCACCTTTGTATGATTATGATTTTCCATATTTAATGCTTTCACTTTAAATATGGGAATTAAGACCATACAAAGATGAAAATAAATAAAACCGTTGGATCATCATAATCGATCTAACAGTGAGATTAATTGGTAATCACTTGGTAGTAACACAACTTGGTTGTCACAATATCCTTCTTCTATAAAACTTGAGGGGAAATGTGACGATGATGAGGTTAAGTTCGTATTAGAAATAAGTGAGAAGAAAACTTTATTCAATCCTTTAAGATTTTGAGTTAAAATATTATATACGAGGATGTAATTTTATTTCATTCCATTGGTAATTACAAGAGTAAAGTTAGAGAAAATATGTAGACTCATATATATATGATCTCACATTGATACGATCTATTATTTCTTTTTCTTCTTAATTGTATCTCTAGTACTGCAGGCTAGGCTATCCAAATACAAAATGAAGATTTCATTCAAACAACGATGGGAAGGAAAAATAAATAAATATAGAGGGAGTCTTCCATGAAGATGCAAGTGTGGAATTTTTTTTTTTTGGGCATAAATCATTCAGTGTTCGGTTATCAACTATAATCCGGATACAAGCCAAGGTAGAATTATAAAGTCATCAAAATTCTTCTTATCAAATTTTAACACAGTTATGTATTAAAACTCAAATTTGAGACCATAAATTAAATTGAAACAACTCCTCACTAAGTTAATCACGTGCTTGTAAATGCAAGTGTGGAATCTTTAACCCAATCTCTAACCAAGGAGGAGGTTGATAATTTTTTAACCAAAAAAGGTTTCAAGTGATAAATATTTGATTCTGTCTAAATAAGGTCTTGCAAAAAAATTTCTGATTCAAATATGATTGTCTCTCATGAAAAATTTACGTGGTTTATAAGAAAAAAGAAGAGGAGGAGGAGGTGTGACTCTTCCTTTAAGGCGATGATAAGTCTCTAGATATCAAATTGAGGTATCAAAGCTTTCAAATCTCTTAGGCCGGAGCTCATCTTTAGTACATCAGTAGTACATACTACTTTCATTTAAAATCTAACACATGTATTTGAGACCCTATTTTTCTCTATTACATGTCAGAATTGATATTTGTTATTTGGTTTTGATTGGAGGAATGTATAGAAAATTAGGTGCATATGTAATATTGTAGAAATTTCCTTAGGCCGCCTCTAATTCTTTGCGAAACAGTTGGAAATGGTTCATTATGCTGTATTTGCATTGGTTGTTTTTGCTTTGAGATGATGATTTTGTTAATTAAAAATACTCGAATTTTGTTATAAAAACGACACGTGGACTACTTCTAACAATGCTTAACTATATTATCCTCACCACACTAATTACAAAACACTCTATTTATAAAATAATATAAATAGATTTAAAAACCCTCAACAACATTAGTTGGTCGTAAACCCAAATTCAAATTACTAAAAAACATAAAGAAAGGAAAAAGTAAAATAAACACAAAGCCCATAATAATATCAAACCTTCGTGATCCCGAACTTTATTCATGAGCACAACCCATTGACATTTTATATATCATGCCAACAAAAGTCATCACCTAATTAAATACAAAGTATAAATAATACCAAAGATATTCATTGCAAAGTGGATATGAATGCAATAAAATTTAAAGTATCACGTTAAGATTTGAAATATGTTATGCTGCTTCGGGCTTAACAAGTATCTAATAACGTAATATGTACTTTGTTTAACCCAAATAAAACTCATCGTTTGAAATATTTGTGCAAGTCCATTCTCACTCATGAATAGGGGAGAAACAATGGGGATCAAGCATTTGGATGGAAAGAGTACTTGATTTGAGCTGCTAAACTGGACTTCCTCTTATAGCAAAAAAGAAAAAGCATCAAAGCACAACTATAAGCCTGTCAGTTATGCGCTTTTTCCTCAACGGGTAATAGAATAAGAGCGTTTCTGTCTTGTCAAAATAATAAATAAATAAATAAAATAAAAAATAAGAATTCTGCTTGAACACAATACATTCTCTGATGAAAGACAAACAAATAAGGGATTTCATTTCAAGCAACATGAACATGCGAGTGAAAGAGTCTGAAATATTTTAACAAAAGTTGAATCATCTGGTAGTATTGAACTCTTATCAACTAAAAGGTTTTAATTATAGTGATGCTTGTTTATTAGCAGGTCATTTATAAAATATAAATAAGAAATGTCAAGCTTATCATGAGTTTCATGTCAAGAGGTTTGTGGATGCGTGCAATACTCACAAAAACCAAAATATTTTTGGTACTACGAATGTATCGACTACTTGCTACATCTTTTATTAAATACGAAAAAATAGTACATTTACATTACTCTTGTTCTTATAGTTAATTTTTTTCATATTTTCTTTCATATCTTTTTTATTTTTGGAAAAGGAATACCTATTTCTGTTATACCAAAAATATACTCCAAGAAAGGGGATAGACTCCTATTAAAATGTAATAATCTATGGTGTTATCCACGTAGACTATTTCTATTTACAACAATGTTATTTCTACACCTAAATTTATACATCTACCCCTTATATTTATCTTTTTCGAAAGAAGAAAATATCAAATCAACCTCGCTTCTCTCCTCTGTCTCTTTTTAGTCCAAAATTATTAAGCGTGAGAAGGAAGGTAAAATTTTCAAGTGTATGAATTTTGCCAAACATGTTTATGCATGTATGACTCATACTGGATGATTACGTCGGTGTGTTGAAATAAGATGCTCCTAAACAGCAAATTAAACATATTTCCAAGCAAGCCATTTGACTAAAGAACATGTGATATTAAAAGATAACTTTTATTCAAGTATCTTTCTCCACACCTTAAATTTCACCTAGGAGCGTGCAAAAAAACTCAAAAGAACTAAACTAAATTGAAAACCGTGCCAAAATGCCTCAAAAGAATTGGTTTTGTAAAACAATTCTTGAACCTAAACTGATTTCAAAAAAAAAATTCTCCTTTCCCAATGATGTCCCCACTTATTTGGATAAAACTAATTCCTTTTGTGGCATAAAACGTGAAAGTTATTGCCACTTATCCCAAATTGTTTCGCTTAAAATTCGAATTAAAGATCTTTCGGCCTAAAAGAGTTCAGAAAGGTTGGGTTCAAAAAGTTTAATTCTGAACCAATTCAGAACTGATTTAAAATAATTCAGAACTGAACCAAACCATTTATAATATAACATTACACTCAATCACAATTCACTCCAACATTAATACATGTATATCTACGTATTAAGTATGCTGTTTATGACCATATATAGCATTCAATCATATAGTTGGTGAAATATCAAATCGTAAAATGCTTTTGTTTATTATGGGGTAAAGTACACAAACTATTAATAAATATGAATTTGATTCTTAAAGTAAAAAGCGCATAGTTATAGTCAAATTGAAAAAAATTGACCCAAGAGTTGTTGGTCTAATAGCATCCCAGTTAGACACCAGGATTTGACTTGCTCAAAAGGTATTGGGTTTGATTCTTGAGAGTCGTAATTCTTGGAAAAGGTGGAGAAATTCAAACCCAAAACCGGATTAGTAGAACCCACGAGCTTCGAACACCGGTTGGTAATTACAAAAAAAAAATTGAGCTCATAGATATCAACAAGTTTGTAAGACAATTTCATATAAGAAAGTTAGTTGGAAACCAGTTTGAAAATATCAAGAGAGAGCAGTTTCAAAACCAATTTGTAAGACACAGATTCAAAACTAGTTTCAAAACCAGTTCGGTTTTAAACTGGTTTTAAAACTGATTTCTAAACAGTTCGGTTCAAGAACTAAACCGAAAAAACCAATTCAGTTTAGTTCAGCTGGCAAATAAGTTTGGTTCTTAACTACGCCCACCCATAATTCCTCCATTCCGATAATCACGAGCCTTGATTATTTGTCCAACTTTGTGGAATGGTGACCCACGTGGAGCAATGAGACCAAGGTTTTCCATCACTCTCATCCTCCGGGCACTCAATTCTCGAGGCTTTCCTAATGAGTTGGTTTCCTGAGTATAAATAGTGAGTTAATATGCCAGACCAAATTGGAACTAACCAATACATTAAATAAAAAAGGTTTCACTCCATTTACTTACATGACTTTGGCTACCCAGATCATCATCATTCAACGACTCATTTTGCTTTCGGCCCTTGACTTTATTCTGCTCCTCATCTTGCCTGTAGGATTTTCTCTTGCTTGCAGAACTTTTACTTGATGTTCCTGTAAGAGAATGATGAGAGAAATCGCACGCTAAGCTACTTATATGTACTGGAATTTATGCATTCATTTACAATCGATTATAGAGTAATCTAAGCTAACACAAACTAATAATCAGTATCTGAGTATTCTAATACAATCAACATAAATACAGATGACTATACATAACATAAATGTTAATATTCTAACACTCCAACTGAATTTGAAGCTCTACTAAGTTCTCAGCTTGATACATATAAACCCAGCCAAACAGTGGCAGACGCGGCTAAACATAATCAAACAGACCGACCCAAAACCTCAGCAAAACGTACTGAACACACATCCAAACAGCTGCAGATCCTCAGGGAGGATAGGCCACAGTGGATACACAGCCAAACAGCAGCTTGGAGTTGTAGACTAGGCAAGAAGATCCAGAAGGGAAGTACTGCTGAAACATGCACACAGCAGATAAAGTAAAAAGGAGAACAAATGATTGAATATGACCATTACTGATGGCTGACAAAATGAATGCAGCCACCAGAAACTTAAACAAAGAAGACACCAAATGAAGGAGTTTCCAGAACTCCTCTGCAGAATAATGAAAGGAATAGATGGTATTGCTCTAATACCATGTTTATAGAATGAGTGATTGCGAGAAATTGCAAGGTAGACTACATACATGTTCTGGTGTTTATGGATTGATTTACAATCAAATAGAGAGTAATCTAAGCTAACACAAACTAACATCTACCTAATAATCAGTAAATGAATATATATTTTAACAGAAATGCTAATATTTTAACATAAATGTTAATATTATAACAGTTCTATTTTGATCAAAGGCTCTCTTTCTTGCTTTACCCTCAGCTTATTTGCTCCAAGATTCTTTGGCATCGTCTCATTTGCCACAGAACTTCTTTTATTTTAGCTTGCTTAAGGAGTGTGTTTTGGGATAAAGGTGTTGTCGATGTTGAAGGGGTGTGCTGCAGAGTTTTCTGTGCAATCCATCTGGTTTCGCACTAAGTAGATCCTCAGTGCGATCTTGATTGCACTTCTTGTCTCTATATACTCTTACATTTGCTGCCTTAACATGTAAATATATTTACTTGTAAGGAAAATTACTGCTCAGGTAAAAAGTATTACCCCCTCCCCCTACAAAAAAAGGAAAAAAGAAAAAGAGAACACACAGATACATATGGGATCCAAAACCTATAATCCTAATATTCATATCACTTAGTTTTTTCCTCCCTTAGAAAAGGAACAAAGGTAGATGTGATGCTGCTTCGGATTCTTTTAATGCTTAACTTAGAAGAGACTTTACATCATTTTATAATGGCATTTAATAATCAGTCAGAAGAAGCATAACAGCTTTAGTTAGTGATGCTTATTACATAAACACAGTAAATATTTGTTTTTGCCCGAGTAAATGTGCCAAACTAATGGTAATAGATTTTTTGAGTTCCACATAAACTTTTTTTTTTGGAAATATTCCAATCGATTCATCGCTTCCCGACTAGTTCGATTCGGGGCGAGTCCCGGGATTAAGACTTTAAACCCCTCCCAAAAATGGCATTGGGGAAGATCGAACACATGCTCTCATCCTCACCTACTCAGTTCCCTGGCGCCAACTGAGCTACCATCATTTGGTACCACAAACTTTCAAGTAAGTAATCAGCAACCAGTTTTTTAATGTCAAGAATATGAATGCATTTTTAAAATAAATGTTCAAGGAGAAAATTTTACGCAACAACTATAAAATATATATTTTGCACGTGGAGGGCTTCCTGATTGAGTTCTCACCCTCTATTGATAGATCAAGAGTTCCCGCAGACAAAGAATCAGAATAAGATACTGTGCAATGTAAATTTTGTAAGCTAAGCTCACTTTTCCTAAAGATCAGAGAAACTAGAGAAAAAAAGGAGGAAGAAAATAACAAAAAGTGGATGAACAGTAATTTGAGAGAAGCAGATACAACTTTAGTGTCTTGTCACCATGACCTTAACCACTATAGACAGTAAACTGTAGAATATGTAGAATATTCTAGATAGTATTTATTGATGTAGTTGGTAGTTGTATATTTAGTTGGTAGTTGTATATTTATTGATGTAGTTGGTGGTTGTATATTTATTAAAGTAGTTGAGGTAGTTGGATGTACTCAATATAAAAAGGACCCATTGGGTCTCTCAATGAATCAAGAAAGTATTATTCAGATAAAACACTTCTTCCACTTCTTCTTTTCTTCATGGTATCAAGAGCTGGTTATATTCCAGTCTCTTCCTCGTTCTGATTTAATTTTAAGTCATTTTTCTATTCCTTTTTTTTTGTTTTAGCCACTGCCCAAGCCAGAATCCTTACCTAGACACCTCCAACCATGAAACCAAGGCCACCATTAGGTTCAGAACAAGATTCTGAGCCAGCCCACAGATTACTGTAGCAGTACTGTTCATTACTGTAGCAATTACAGTTTCACTGTAGCCAAGATTGCTCTCATTGTATTTGGAGGAACTTTTTTCTGGGTACCTGTTGTTAGAAAACCATGGACGTTGAAAATTTTGAAAATTCATCTTTTCAGAAATTGATGTCTCAACCTGCTGAGGCAACTAGTCATGTTGCTCAAAAAGGTATGGCATTCCATGTTGAACGTAGTAATCGTTGGATCCTTGATTCAGGGGCCTCTGATCACATGACAGGTAATGCAACCTTATTTTTCTCCTATACCCCTTACTATCACCCGTCACGAATAAGAACAGCTGATGGGAATTTCTCCACTATTGCGGGAAAGGGATCCATTAAACTTTCTGAGCATATTATTTTGAACTCAGTACTTCATGTTCCCTCTCTTACTTGTAATCTCATCTCTATTAGCAAACTTACTGCTGAGTTGCATTGTGTTGCTAAATTCTCTGCAAATGCTTGTATCTTTCAAGAACAGGACTCGGGGATGATGATTGGCAGTGCTAGAGAGGAAGAAGGGCTATACTATTTTACAGATGTTCATTGTGAAAAGAGGATTTTTTCGAACCACTCTCTATGTTTATCAGATGACTGTAATGATGTTTTGTTATGGCATCGTAGGTTGGGACACCCAAATTTTGTTTATCTCCAGAAGTTATTGCCGAACTTATTTATCAATAAAAAGCCAAGTTCCCTTCTTTGTGATATTTGTCAGCTTGCAAAGCACTCTCGTGTCACTTATTCTCCTAAGAAATATCATGAATCTTCTCCCTTTACATTGATTCATAGTGATGTTTGGGGACCTGCTCGTGAAAAAAATGTCTCGTGTGCTCGTTGGTTTATTACTTTCATTGATGATCATTCTAGGGTATGTTGGGTATATCTCTTAAAAGATAAGTCTGAGGCAGCATCCACTTTTAAAAACTTTCATGCTATGATTCAAACTCAATTTCAGACTTCTATCAAAATTCTGCGAACAGACAATGGTACTGAATATTTTAATTCAGTTCTTGGAGATTACCTAAACCAGCATGGAATTATTCATCAAAGTTCTTGTCCTAACACCCCTCAACAAAATGGGGTGGCTGAAAGGAAAAATAGACATCTAATTGAAGTTGCTCGAGCTCTTTTATTCACGATGCATGTCCCTAAATATCTGTGGGGGGAAGCCGTCTTGACAGCCTGTTATCTCATTAATCGGATGCCTTCTCGGGTACTAAATTTTCATTCTCCTTTATCCTGTCTTACTAAATCTTTTCCCTCTTTCAGTGCTCTTTCTTCTCTTCCTCCCAAAATATTTGGCTGTGTGATTTTTGTGCATATTCCTCCACATCAAAGGTCCAAACTTGACCCTAAATCCATCAGATGTGTCTTCATAGGATATTCCCATAATCAAAAAGGTTATAAGTGCTACTCACCTTCTCGCCGTAAGGTTTTTGTTTCCATGGATGTTACCTTTTATGAGACACAATCCTTTTTTTCCCCGACTTCTCTTCAGGGGGAGTCTATTGGTATTGGTATGGATGAAGATAAGCCTGGGAAACCAAATGATGTTGCTGTCTTACCTTGGCCTTTGGAAACAAGTGGAGTTATTGGGAAGGAAACAGGGGGAGCAACTATACCTGAATCTAATGAAGATAAGCCTGACAAACCAAATGATGTTGCTGTCTTACCTTGGCCTTTGGAAACAAGTGGAGTTATTGGGAAGGAAACAGGGGGAGCAACTATACCTGAATCTAATTATCCTCCTTGTGATCTTCCTGGTAAATGGGAAAAATTTTACAACAGGCGCAAAACACATGAAGATACTCTAGACTGCCAGGATCCTGACTCGAGTCCTTGTTCCAGCAAACCACTTGAATGTACTAGTACAACCAACGTTGATATGCCTATTTCTCTTCGGAAAGGTACTAGATCTTGCACTGCTCATCCTATTTCCCATTATATCTCATATGAAAAGTTGTCTCCAGGTTTTCGTGCTTTCAACACTATGTTAGATAGTACCAGGATACCCAAAAATATCCAAGAAGCACTTGATGACCCAAAATGGAGGAAAGCAGTATTAGAAGAAATAGATGCACTTACAAAAAATGGAACATGGGAGTTTGTAACATTACCTAAAGGAAAGAAAACTGTTGGTTGCAAGTGGGTGTTCACAATAAAATTCAATGCAGACAATAGCATCAATAGGTATAAGGCCAGATTAGTTGCTAAGGGATTTACTCAGGACATGTTTGGTACGATGTATAAGGCCTGATAGTATAAGCTTATACTATACATTATGATGTTATCAGTTGTTTGGAGTGACCATCGTATTGTATAAGCTTATACATCATAACCCCTTAATACATCAAAATGATGTATAATTAATCAGGTCTTTGGGGGTAGGATTAGACCTGATAAGGAGTGATGTATTAGCTTTAATCCCATCTCATATTACTCTTCCTCTTCTGCCCCATTTTCCCCATTTACGTTAGCCCTCACTTCTCTTCTCCCTTCGCCACCATCGTCTTCAAGCTGCAACCGTAGCACGACGGCGCCGATTTAAACTCTCCAACTTCATAGCCCTC